ATGAAAACATAATAGGTTCAGATCTGAAATCATGGCACTCGGGCCCTAGTGACAAGCATTAAGCATAGCAAAGTCATAGCAACATCAATCTCAGAACATAGTGGATACTAGGGATCAAACCCTAACAAAACTAACTTGATTACATGGTAAATCTCATCCAACCCATCACCGTCCAGCAAGCCTACGATGGAATTACCCACGCACAACGGTGAGCATCATGAAATTGGTGATGGAGAATGGTTGATGATGACGACAGCGACGAATCCCCCTCTCCGGAGCCCCGAACGGACTCCAGATCAGCCCTCCCGAGAGAGATTAGGGCTTGGCGGCTCCGTGTCGTAAAACGCGATGAAACTTTCTCTCTGATTTTTTCTCCCCGAGACGGAATATATGGAGTTGGAGTTGAGGTCGGTGGAGGTCCAGGGGGCCCACGAGATAGGGGACGCGCCCTAGGGGGCGGGGCGCACCCCCTGTCTCGTGGACAGCCTGTGGGGCCCCTGGTGCATATCTTTCGCCCATAAATTCTTATTAATTCCAAAAAGTGCCTCCGTGGATTTTCAGGACATTCCGAGAACTTTTCTTTTCTACACATAAAACAACATCATGGTAGTTCTGCTGAAAACAGCGTCAGTCCGGGTTAGTTTAATTCAAATCATGCAAGTTAGAGTCCAAAACAAGGGCAAAAGTGTTTGGAAAAGTAGATACGTTGGAGACGTATCACTTACTATACTATGGGATCACTTGATCCCTCTTGGTACATCTTGTACGCTTTGTGTGTTGATCAACTTGATTCACTCTTGACTTAGTCTTGATCAACCTTGTATCGTGTCTTCTACATGACCACTCTTTGGATAATTCCTTGAATAGCACATTGGTCAACATATAAACTCCTTGAAACCAACAAATGGACTTTAATAAAATCTTGTGGACAAATCCTTCAAATATAACTCAAGATAACCATTAGTCCATAGAGATTGTCATCAATTACCAAAACCAAACATGGGGGCACTGCATGTTCTTTCATCCATAGAGGTCACGGTCTCCAAAGGAGAAGTATCAAGTGGACGAACAAAGCTCTACCTCTCAAATGAGCTATCACAATGCTAACCCTGAAACATGAGGGAGAGGGAGTATATATAGTCTAGGGATGCAAAGAGATACATGGGCCTCGGGCCTTTACTATGCGCAGACAAATGGAGCCGGACGTCTGGGCGTCAGGCCGGATGTCTGGGCTTTCCGGAGGCGCCGGATGTTTGGGTGTTGGGGCCGGATATCTGGGCTAGCAGGGCCTAGCTTCTGTGATGGGCGCCGGATTTCTGGGCATTGGGCCGGATGTCCGGGCATGTTGCCGGATGTCCGAGCTGACTTGGCCGATTCTGGTTGCTCTCTGGATAGGAGGAGCCAGATTTTCGGGCGTCGGGCCGGATGTCTGGGCGGGGCCGGATGTTCGGTACTGGGCTGGATGTCCGGGCCCTTTAGCCTTGGCTGGTGGGCAGCTGTTGTGGTTGATGCTCCAGGGGCTTGGGGCTGGATGTCCGGGTCCTGTGGACTTCTCCGATTCCTTTCATCGTTCCTCTTCATCCGTGAACTTGGGGACTTGTCTGTCTTCACGTGCGTTTCGAGAGGGCCTTCTTGGTACCTGATCATGCACAACATTCTGGACTTAGGTAGTAGCCATGTCTCGAGTGGATCATATGGAACATCACTAAGGACAAATGTCACCTCGGTCTCGAGAGCTCTAGCTCACTCGTGTCATTAGTCCTCTTGGCACTTGGTGAGATGATGGTATATCCATGGGAATGACCATAGGATGCTCCGTATCAACCATGCCCATGGGATAAAATGCATCGCTAGGAGTTGGATCTCCTGAAGTGTGAGTTACCGGACAAGTTTGCTGTGGGTTGCATTATTGCAAAACTCCCTCTTGGATGAAGGAACTTTGCTACTTCTCTCAAGCACTTGAGATGTGAATTCTCTGTTGAGGATGTCATTGATCATCTAAGTGTTGGGCAAAACTCAAGAGCAAAGGACTCACACGTGAAAGGGTCAGAGGGTTCTTCTAGTACCAATATGGTGCAGAAGAATTCCCACAAGTTCAAGGGAAAGAACTATGTCCAGCAGAATAGTACCTTTAAGAAGAAGGGTGAGAAGAAAGACAAAAAGAGAAATGGTTGCTTTATTTGTGGTTCAGAGGAACACTGGGCAAACAAGTGCCCAAACAAGTACAAGAAGCCAGGACAGGACTCTAAGTCTGTCAATGTCACTCTGAGCAACAATGATGCGGCATCTGGGTAAGTGCGGCTGGGCCTTTTCCTTTCTTTCTTTTATCCTGTTCAAAATAAATAGACACATCCAAGATGGAAAAGGCCATGTGTTCTGGAAAGGAACCTCTCAGAGATAAAAATATAACTGGAATCCTGGATTTATGCCCTATTTCAAAAAAATGTTTTGGACACTTTTAGAGATATAAAAATAATTCAAGTTTGAATTAAATTCAAAATTGAGCCTTTTTTGAACCCAACCAATTCAAGTCAAATTATCTAAAATTTGACAAAGAGGTCGAAGGCAAGGTGTAGGATATATAGGGAAAAGTTGAACATTATTTGAGGCAGGAAAAATGGCACTTGCAATAATGGGTGAAATTTGGTAGAAGGAAGAAGTGAAATGGTTTTGCGCTTGGTGAAAGGTATTGATGAAATAATGAAGATGCAAACAACCATAGGAGGAGGAGGGAAATATGGCGAGCAAAAAAACACATCAACATGAAGAATGCAATCCACATGGTGATCATGATGAATTGCAATAAAATGACACAAGGCATATCAAATCATATAGCATATAACAAAGTGAGATAACCATGGCAACAACAAGGATGCACAATGCAATACAACCAATGATGAACATGATGCAAGAAGAAACATATGACAATGGCTCTCATCATGATCATGGTAACAAACATGGTTTTATTGAAATGGTTGATAAATCGCATGCATTACATCCGAGTTGTTACACGAAACCCCTTTGTTCTATGACCAATAGCGGAACCGTGGACATATGTATCGGTCCCTATGATTACACGAATGATATATTAGAGTGAACCTTTGGTTATCATGTGATGTTCCGTTTGCTTCATGATACTTTACAAAATCCGGTGTGCATCGGTATCCTCCTGAGTCATAACCATGCCCACTATATCTTGCTCCCGTTACCAGTTTTGTTCTTCTTTCTCGTTAATATGTTTCGGCATCCCTGTGACGTATTCACCTGTGTCTGGCTAGACGATGATGGATGCCGTTACACTGAGAGGACCCTAAGAATATCTCTCCATCATGAGAGGAGCAAATCCCACTCTTTAGCTATCCGGTCACTTGTCAAACTTTCCGGTGAGCCTGAAAGTTGTCGTCATGATCACCTTATTACAGATGACGTTTGAGCAATCCCAAAGCCCACCGTCTGGTAGGAGGTGACCGAGACACTCTCATCGTCCGAGGAACTAAAACACATGCTAACACTCCATGTTATAACAGATGATTTCAGGCGATATAATCACAAAGTATAACAGACAAGTTTGGGTCGATTCAATATGATCATTCTTCTAACATCATACCCTCAATGTTGTTTTAGGACTATGTTACACTTAACGATATCCTAAGATCTGGAAAACGGTGATCACCAACAAGTCTTGAGCCAGCCTTGGAGGCGAGACATATTGTTTACCATTTATCATTTGACATGTGCATATGAGTTTTCCACTGAATCGCATATTCCAGAATCATAATAGTTATAGCATGAAATATAAACTCCTAATTATAAATAACGAAAATATAATAATACAATACTATTGCCTGTAGGGCATATTTCCAACAATCTGCAAATGCACCCTCTATACGAGGCTTTGAAAATCGTAATAGCCACTCGTCACTTGTAGAGAGATCTAAAAACCGTTGAAGCAGCATCAGTTGCAAACCATCATCACCGGTTTAAAGGGTTGGAGAAGACGAACCATGCCACAGAACAATACAGAAGAAGATGCTGAAGTTGTCACACAAATATTCAACCAATAGCTCTCCTTGAAAGACGCACCAATTGTCAAGATCTCAAGGGAAGCAATAGATCTGGTGACATAAACTTTTACAGTCTTCGTCGACGCACGATCGGACATTGTCGAGGTATGGAGAGATCCAATAGACCTTATTCCAACATGCCATCGCCGCCACCACCTCATTAACGTTGTTGGGGAAACAAAAACCTAAGGGAAAGAAAACTAAATAGATGGGTCCTCATTCCTCTTGCCGCCGACTAGACCGTCAAACGGGAAAAATGAGGGGTCCAAAGAGGCAGCGTGTAGGGATCCTGTGGCGGCGGCTAGGGTTAGGAGTCTTTTCGTGCCTCCAAACACCCTCTTTGTGATTAGGGTTCTATTCCAGGTAAAGCAATGATGAAAAGTTACATGAGCGGACATTGGGGTTTGTTGAAAAGATGGAGAGGTGGATCTATACTGTACTTATGTTTTGAAGAAAGCTCTTCCAAATTCTAAGTTGGAAGTCATTCAAGATTCAAGTCCTAGACTTGACACTGATGTCCGCATTTTCCTGGATTTATCCTAGACTGCCCGGTGATGTGCGTTCAGTGAGAGGAGACTTTACGTCGATCACGAAGGCGTCTGTGACAAACTTCGTCATATGTACTGTGTTTAAAAAAAGACGTCGATAGGTCCTGAACGTCAGGATCGAACAATTTTTGTGGCAATTTATAGTTTTATCATTTCCGAAAGAAAAAAAAGCTCTTCCACGTGTAAAAAAAAAAACTCTTCCAAATTTGAATTCATTCCACGTGTGGACAAACAAAATGAAAGGAATCACTCCCATTGGTCACGCGGGCCCACCAAACCAGCGGTCCCACATGTCATGCCCACACACCACACCCAAACCCAAGTCCAACCCAAGTCCTGACCCGGTGTATAAACCCCGACCGCCAAACCCTAGCCTTCCCCCTCTTTGATGCTCTTCGTCCCGCGCCAGGTAGCACTCGCCTCCCTACCCTCCACCCCCGCCGCCGCCGCCGCCATGGCCAAGGAGGAGGCCAAGAAGGAGAAGAAGAGCAAGAGCAAGGGGGCCGCCGCCAAGGCCTCCCCCGCCCCCAACGCGCGGGTCCTGGCCGCCGTCGCCGCCTTCCTCGAGGCCAGCGGCCTCCCCCGCACGCTCGCCGCCCTCCAGTCCGAGGCCAACCTCGAGGTACGTCTCGCCACCTCTCTCTCCGATGCGCATCCGCGTGTATTGTCATTTCGGCGGACGATTATTACGTCGGGAGGCTGTGAATTGGCTGCTTCCAGGGAGATGCTTGGAGGTCGTCGCCGGTGAACCTGGAGGACGCGGTCTCCAAGTTGTTGGAATCAAGGTACCTCTGTCACGACTCACGAGAGAGTCTTCATTGTTGTTAAATTGCTTCTGTTGGTGAGCTATATGCTCCCCTGGAAACTGGGATTGCTGACTCTTAATGCAATTTTGGTTGTTGTGTGCAGCACTTCTGCTCCAGGAGCTGACATTGCTGCGGGCAATGAGCAAGGTAGCTGCATCTTTGTTTGTTACTATGAGTTGTCCTAGTTTGGTATAGACCGTGTATTCCCTTTTGATTGGTGCTCACCTGAATTTTTTGGTGCCGAGAAAACAGATGATGCCGTAGCAGAAGAGAAAGGTGCGGGCAAGAAAAAGAAGAACAAGAAAGGCGGTGCTGAAGGTCATGAGTCCGAGGGTAAGCCAAGTGAGCCCTCTGCCCCTGAAAAGCCCAGCGAGAAGGCGGATGATGAGACGAAAGAAAAGAAACGGAAGAAGAAGAAGGATAGCTCATCAGCGGGGGATGATGGCGAGGCAAATGCAGTAGTGAAGACTGATGATCAGAAGGCTGATGGCAAGAAAAAGAAAAGCAAGAAACAGGAAAACGATGAGGATGTTGAAGCTAGGCTGGAAAAGGTGGAATTAGCAGTAAAAGCCAAGTTTGAGGCGGCGGGGAAACTCAAGGTTGATGACAAGAAATCTGGTGAGGATGAACCTAAGACTCAGAATGATGAGGCTAACGAGAACGATTTGAGTGATGGTGCTCCTCTGGACAAGGGGAAGAAAAAGAAGAAGAGTAAATCAACTTCGGAGACCTCAGATAAGACTGATGCAGGAACTGCACCTGCTGAGGCCGAGGTGAAATCTAATGGTGCCAGTGAAAATAGTGATGCTGTAGGAGAAGGGAAAGAAGTTAATGAGAAGAAAAGTAAAAAGAAGAAAAAGAAGTCAGGTTCTGAAGAAAATGTTCAGGTAGAAGATAAACAAGTTGCAGGGAAAGATCCCAAACCAGATGATGAAAACAAGACTGCGATGGACATTGAGAATGGAGAAGATGGAAAGGCTTCAGCTGATGATGCAGTTGTTAGCAAGAAAAGGAAACTGCAAGAAGTTGAAGGAAGCGAACCCCCTGCCAAAGAAGATATCACTGCCACCGAAGATGATGTGAAGGAGCCCAGCACTGCATCGAAATCAAATAAACGGCAGAAACTTTCTGAGGTATGATGTTTGCTGCCTCTCCAATTGCGTGTGATGTTTAATATCTCTCCAATTTCTTTGAGTATTGCTTGTTTGTCATGTCACAGTTAATCACCCTGACAGTTGAAAGTCTCAATCGTATTTTCTGGTAGCTTCTTACATTCTCTTACATGAAACCTTATTTAGCTTTCTTATATATTGTGTAGTTAATTGTATCTATTAACATTATCATGCTAAGTCTGTACATATTTGTGTTATAATTTGTATATATATTGCTAATACCGAAAGTACTTATTATTGTTGTTGTTGTTCCTGTTATTATTATTATTATTGGTATTATTTTGTACTAAGAAATATGTTTCAGTTAGAAGCTACCAGTAAGTAAAAGTTCACTTCCCAAGAGGCTGATGTGACCACTGACCAGTGGTACTTACTATGATAATTTTCTAGGGCTTTTAGGATATGCTGACCTCTTAGTATTGATGTTCTGAAGATAAAGCTTGCATAAGCATTCTGAGAATTGGCAAGATCTTGATTATCCATGTCTTTGTTCATTCACTGCAGCCTAAAATTGCATTCCAACGGGTAAAGACTGAAGGTATTAAATTTGCTGATGAAAGACTACAAGATAATTCATATTGGGCCAAGGTACTTACTGTTGGAAGATATCTCTCTGAGGTTTATTGATCATAAGCTCATCGCAATTCGACCATTTCTCAATGATGCTAAACTTCCTTGGTTGATCTGTACTTATCTCCTCACAGGGTGGTGCCGACTCTGGGTACGGTGCAAAGGCACAGGAGATTCTTGGACAAGTTAGAGGAAGGTTGAAGACTTGCTCTTGTTTTCTTCGTCTTTTGCTGAACTCCATACTGCTGAACATGGTTTCATGATTGGTGTTCAATTTTTTTTTGCAGGGATTTTAGGCACGAGAAGACCAAGAAGAAGCGCGGAACCTACAAGGGCGGGTTCATTGATCTACAAACCCACTCGATTAAGTTTAACAATTCAGATGACGAGTAATCGCATCATTTGTGCAAGTCGTGCGACGTTTTCCATTCTTACCCTCGTTACTCGGTCAGTCTTGCTGAAAGGAAGAAGTGAAGGCATGCCTGCTTTGCAACGAAGAAGCAAAAACATTGAATTGTTGTATCCTGCCCTTTTTGTTATGCTGCATGCTCTGTTAAGTCATCAGAATTTTGTAATGGACTCAGTGAGACGTACCATTTTGGCTATGCCAATGGGAAATGAAATATTATTACATAGTAAGTATCGTTTTACTTGCTGCCGTGCCTCTAGCTGCACCTGTCCCTGGTTTGCTGCACTCTTTTACATCACAGAAATTGCAAAGCTGTCTGTTTTTTTTATTGAACTGAGGCTGTTTTTTTGAGAGAAAATATATTATATTTTTATTTTATATTTTGAAAGGGATAGGCGGATAGCAGGATATATTTTTTCAATCTAACAAAAGGGTATACTTTTTTTGAGCTTATAAGAGGATTTTTTTTAAAGAATTACAAGAGGATATAATTGAGCATCATGTATTAGCTGCATGAGCAACTAGGTCAGGCGTGATCAGTTGGATTTGGCATTTTGGCTATGCTAATGCGAAATGAAATATCTCCGTTCACTTTTATATTTCCAAGAGCGCCCAAAAGAGTGTGAAAAGACATTTCTACCCTGGTCAGTTTGAATTTCGAATCATGATCGCGATTGCCCCAGGCGCTTCTTCCTTGCCTAGATGTTGCCAGAGGGGAGTGCATCTACTTGCAGTGCTCCCGTTGCCTCCTCCACCACCTCCCCCGGAGTAGCCGCTCCACCGTCGGTGCCCGCGTGGCCGCAACGGGTTACTGCGAGGCTGTGACGCAATTTGCCAGGCCTAAGCTGAGGCATTAGCCACACGAAGTGTGGTGGCTAAAACAAGCGCCACATCTTTGGCGAAAATTTCTACTGCCGAAGCTTCGTAAGGAACCAAACGCCTACCTAGCAAGTGTAGCGGCTAAAGCTGGCAACCAAACAGCCCCTGCGTCGCTCTCCCCCCTAGTACCGCCGCCCCTCCCCCTCCTGCTCGGCGGCGACTCCGATGTGCCGGGATCCACGACCACGTCCCTGATTAACCGTTAGTACTGACTGCGCCCTTTCTACTACTTGAAGAAAATGCAAAGCTCTCTGTCCCTGATTTACTGTTAGTACAGACTACTACTCTTTTATACAGTATCACAAAAAATGCGAAGCTATCTGTTTGAAGTGAGGTTATTAATTTTCAAAAATAAAACATTATTATTTTTTATATAATTTGAAAGGCAAAAGCAGGATTTGTCAGGATGGTTACTTAAGGATATTATGGAGCATCATGTATTAGCCTTTTTAGAACAACATCATGTATTACAGTATTAGCTTTTTTTAGCAGACATCATGTTTTTTTTGTTGAGAAACAACAGACATCCTGTAGAGAGCAACTAGTTGGCGAGCGCTCCTTAAGGAGCCTCCCAATGATAATTTAGGGTGGGCTGAGATCACGCCAAGTGGCGCGCTCTCTGCCGCCGTCACGTGTCGCGCTTTGGGTGCTCCCTCCAGTTTTTTTTATTTTTCCGTCCATGTTTTCGGCTTTTTAGATGGGTTTTTCGGGGGTTTTCGACTTTTCAGTTTTCATCGGTCTTTTCTATCTTTTTGACAAAAATAATTGATAAAAAAAGTTTGCGCAGAAAAATGCATTTTCCTTTTTTTCTTTCATGAGAGGCACGACCGTGCCTCTCGGAAACAGAAAAAATGTGCTTTTTCTTTTTTTTTTCTTTCGTGAGAGCCACGGTTTTGCTTCCCCAGAGACACACTCGGGCTCTCGAAAAAAAATGTTTTTCTTTTTTCTGTGAGAAGCACGGTTTTGCTTTCCCAAGAGGCACGACCGTGCCTCTCAAAAACGGGAAAAAACGCGGTTTTTTCTTCCGTGAGAGGCACGATTTTGCTTCCGCGAGAGGCGCGGCCGTGCCTCTCGGAAACGAAAAAACACACGTTTTCTCCTTTATTTTCTTCCGCGAGAGGCATGGATTTGCTTCTCAGAAAGGGCAAAAAATGTGCTCCCGGTTCACGTCCTTTTTTTTGTCCGGTTTTTTTTGTGAAAAAAGTTCTTCCAAATCTATCAACATGGGATCTAGTTTTGAAGATCTCAACGCGAGGAATCCATCGGTGTCGAGATTTGGACGCACGGTTTTAGAGACAAACCGTTTTGAATAAACAGATCTACGAAAAAGGAAAAACTACAGTGTGTCACTTGTCGCAACCTGAAGAGGTGGGAGTGAATTTTTGAAAGGAATACTCCTCGATTAGTGATTCCGCATCATGTATATTATCTGCATGAGCAGCTGGGCCAGGCCACCAAGGCATCACAAGGTTGCTTGGGTGTACTAGGTGGGCTGGGCCTTGGGCCTAACTTGGTCCTCCATTTGCTTAGCCCATTGCCCAGTACACAGCACGCGCACAGAGGGCCCAGTCCACACGTCACAAAGGGGTCAAAGCTGCAGTCCACAGAGACAGAGGGAGAAGGAAGCAGAAGCAGAGCTGATTGCTGTGAAGAGAGTGCCTGTTGTCTGTTGCCTGCCATGATGAGCACAGCAACATTGGAGCAAACTCCATGGCAATGATGGTGGTAATGATGATGGCTGCATCAGCATCCATCTGAGTGGCCTGTCTTTGAACAGCCTGACCCAGTTCAAATCCAGTCAAGATAAACTTGAGCTGCTGCCCTGCTGGTCCGGTCCAGTGCTCCACTCACTCACTCAATCCATGGCGGTCAAGATCCTCCCAGACCAAAGCCAGGCAGGAGGAGACGTGCCGCTGCAGCAACCTACTACCAGCACAGTAGCCATTGTAGGCTTGTAGCTAACAGTGGCCAGCACACACAACCTGTGACCTACCCTATGAAAAGAGGTGTGATGAGGAACCCATTCAAACTCTGAATAAATAACTGTTTGGTCATCTGGTCCGGTGACTTGTACCTCACAAAACTCTCAAGAACCGCTGCTGCTGGCCTGTACCTCACACATCACCATAACTGCCCGCATGCCACACAGTACAGCATGAGGAGGAGACGAGAGACTTCACCTGCTGCAAGCAAGCAAGCAAGACTGCTGACTGCTGCTACTATAGCTAGCTAGATTGAGTGGGGTTTCCAACATGTACGCACGTACGTACTACTACAAATGCAGACGTACACCTTTTGCAGATCTCTTTCCCTTGGATTGCAAGCAAGCCAAAGCCAGTGGTGACTGGTATGCCACAGGCCATTCGTCTGCTGATACTGTACAAAACTATGCCCCAAAAGTCATGATCGCCTCTGCTGCCATTCAAATGTGGGCATAAAAGGGCACACCTAACGTATTTAGGGCATGGGCACTTTGGAATGATTAGCGTTCTTAAAAGCATAGCACCCCAAGCTCTAAATGATTTACTAGTCCATGGTGCCATGGCAGAAGAAGAAGCATTATGTTGACTAGGAGCACTAGTGGGGGTACAGATGTCCTCCAATTTGAACCAAGCAGGTTTGGCGCCAAAGTCCATCTCAGGAGACAAATTGGAATTTCCCATGGCACCTACTGTTGAAACTTATCATCCTTGGGACGAGCACTCCAATTCACATGAATATTTTCAGGATGGTGACATCAAAGCGTTGGGCAATGTGACCTAAAAAAACCCAACAGATATTAACAAATGTAAGGGCTAAATAAACTACACTACATGGGTGAGGCTAACTAGAAGGAACAGGACAAGAAACCACAGGAGTATGTCACCTTATATTAAAAAAATAGTCTGGTTAGTAACAGAAATGTGTTTGATGGACAGAGACTAATGTTGTGTGTTTTTTTAGGGAGACTGATAATGTTGTGTATGTGGGGGAGGACATGAGCTGATGGCCTTGCTAAACCCAAGAGGAAAAGGTGAGGCTAACCTGTGGTTTGTGTCCTCTTAGGAGGAGCAAATCAGTTAACAAAGCTGCCTTTGTGTGGGGGTTTGGGCTTTGGAGTCTTCTCCCCCTCGCTTTTCTTTGTGGCTTTATCTTTGAGGGTGTGCATGGGGGTCTGGTGATGGATAGGGTGGGCATGCAGTAGACTAGAGGGGATTTTAGTACAAACATATACAATAATTCAAATGTTTCAAATATTTTACATGTCTCTTAGAAAATTTAAAATTGTGTGTAAATATCACCTCTTTGAGACTCCAAGTCAAGGATTTCAGCAAGCCAAATACCTCTGAAAATACAACAACTTAAGAACTGCTTTTGTGTCATCCAGTTGCAAGCCAATGCCATTTTCTCATTTGCACCGTCTTGGAAAATAAACCTTGATAGATAATTCGTACTACAATACGACGTAACCCCCTCGCGTCGCTCTTGCGAGCGACCGAGGGGGCGAACCCTAGCCGCCGGGGCTAGTCGGCCTCTTCCAGCTCCCTCCATTGCCGCCGCCCGTGTGCGCCGCCCAATCCGGTCGACGTAGGCAGCAGCGGGGATCTTTCTTCTCCTCGCTCAATGCCGTGGGAAGCGGGACGACGGCTTCGGCGATGGTGTCATGCGGATCCAAGGCACGGCGGCGCGGCGGCTCCCAGCGGCAGTGCGGGTGAAGATCGATTGGGCGTGGCGTGGCGTTCGGCTGGACGTGGCTAGAAGATGAAGGTGGGGCTTGCCGGCGGCGGTGGCGGTGGCGGCGGCGGCTCCAGCCTGGATCCTGTCTTGGCGGTGGCGACGGCGATGGATGGCCCGGATCCGACCATGCTGGTCGCGGCGTCCCCTCTGCCGGGGATGACGGGCCAGGTGGTGGGTCCTTGTGGAGGAGGCGGTGGCGGCGGATCTTGTGATCCGTGTTCGGGCTCGATACAGGACGCGCCTGGCGGCCGGAGCTTCGTCCAGCGTCGACAACGCTTGATGCAGGATCGCGGCGGTGGTTCTCATTGTGTGGGCGACGACAATGACTGGTGCAACGGTGGGTGCTCCCTGTAGCTCCCGGAATCGGGGGCGGTGGCCCCTCTTCATC